CGCAAAACCTCGTTGAACCATCTTTCTTCTTGACAAGCACGACAGGTGAACACCAAGGGCTAGAAGAGGGCTCTATCACGTCATTTTTCCTCATATCGTCAATCATTTGTTCAACCTCTTTCTCACGAGCGAATGGTATACGTCTGGGCCTTTGACGAATTGGCATTGTATCACCTGTGCTTATTTTATGCTTCACCAAACCAGTTCGGCCAATATCACCATCGCTTCTTGAAAACACATCAGAGAATCGAAGAAGTAAATTTCTAGCTTTCATAGTCTCCACTTTTGTCAGACTTTTGTTTTCGTCTAAGATTTTCGTTACATAGTCTATTCCCGTACTGTCCTTCTTCACAAGATTTTCCGAGCATTTTCTTATCCAGGCCATTTCTTCCAATACGCCCACAGGCTCTCCTTCTTCAATCGTAATTTTTGAATCACTGAAGTTGAATACCGGAATGCGGTTGACGTCAGATGACCCCACGACAGTTCTTGCCGGTAGCCATGAGTTTACGTGTTCCGATTTATCAATCACAGCGCACCTTCGAGGTAAACTTCCTTCCCTCCTCCTAGGTAATGCAATTGGTACGAGAGTCTGTGATTTTGGTGCAAGAACAGTTCTTCTTAAACAGCAAACTTTTCCCAGGGTTCCACCCTTCATCGGAATTTCCTCAGTTCCACATAGTAATACTCCAGATTTTAAGTCGATGTTACACTGGTGCCCTTGCAGGAAGTCAAGTCCCAGGATGCAGTCATCCAGAATTTCGGCCACAATAACCTCATGTCGATAAACACGTTCCCCAATTTTGATTGTTACATGCAGTTTTCCACTTATCGGTATGCACTGGCCGGTAGCTGATTTTATTCGTAGGCCAACAATTGGTTTAAGGTGTTTCCTGATGTTTTGCCCAAACAGCCGAACATTTATCACCGTCCTTGAAGCTCCAGTATCTAATGTTAGCTGACTGTTTTTCCCATTTACTTGTCCGTCTATCACCAGTGTATTTCCATCGTTGGTTTGCTTGATGTAGATTGTTGGGGTTGTTCCACTTCCAGCCAGCGCCCACCCCGCAGCCTTGGCTGGATTTAAGTTTCCCTGCTGGTCAGAAGTTGAGACCGCCGCGTCCTGGCGGTTCATCTTCTTCGGGCAGTCGCTCCGTATGTGCCCACGCTCTCCGCATCCATAGCACATGAAGTTCCGACGGCGTGGAGGTACCTGCTCCGTTGTCGTCATTTCCCGCAGACCTAAGGTACGGGGGTTGCCACGCACGGCTTCCACTTCCAATGCATGGGCCAGAGCTTCTTTCATGTTCTTGTGATGGCCCAGATGAACAGCAGCTCGTACTTCGGGGTCCCGAATACCGTCAATGAATGCTTGGAGAAGCGTGCCTTCAATCATTGACGGAGTCGACCGGAAAGCTCGACGCACAAGTTTCTCGATTTCCACGGACCATTGCTGTAGGCTCTCATTAGCACGCTGAGTACGCTCTTTTAATTGCGCTCTGTACACGTGCTCGAGGTGGCTGTCTCCAAAACGTGCCTCCAGTGCGTCGAGGAGGGCACTAAAGCTGAGATCCCCACTTGCGCCGATAGCTTCCAGCACTGAGAGCGCTTGATCACGGAGGGCCAGGGTGAGGGCTGACTGTGCTTCCTTCTGAGTCCAACCATAAGCCTCCATAAGTGTCTCGAACTGTAGCTTGAACGCGGTCCAGGATGTTGTTCCGTCGTAATGGGGAATCTTGAGCCCTTTCGTTGCGCTTGAGGCCGCATTTGGGGCGTCAAAAACGGCTGCAAGACGGCTTCGGCTCTTCAAAGGGCTTGGGCTTGTCATTTCCTGCTTGATTTTGGAGATCTCTTCTTCCACTCTCTCCTCTATGGCCATGACGCGATGTTCCAACTTGCCTAACCCTTCCTCCACTTCCTGTACCCGTCCGACAGCCTTTTGCAGTCCCTTTGTGAAATCCTTATGCATCTCTTTCAGCTCCCGTAGCTGCTCCGCCTGACAGTGTGCTTGCTCCCGTAGCTGTTCTGCCTGACAGCGTGCTTGCTCCTCTTGGCGGCGCGCTTGCTCTTCTTGGCGGCGCGCTTGCTCTTCTTGGCGGCGCGCTTGCTCTTCTTTCAGCTCCCGCAGCTGTTCTGCCTGACAGCGCGCTTGCTCTTCTTGGCGGCGCGCTTGCTCTTCTTGGCGGCGCGCTTGCTCTTCTTGGCGGCGCGCTTGCTCTGCCATCATTTGCTGCAGCTGTAGCAGAAGATCCACCTGCACAGGCTTGGCTTCTGCATCGCTGGTTTGAGCTGCAGCACCCTCTTCCCTCACACGCTGCGCTTCTGACATTGAACGGGTACTCACTCCTCTTACGTCCTGCGGCACTAGCGGCATTTTTCTCCAATCCCACTTCTGACACCAAATGTTACGTGCCTGACGTCACGTTCCTGACTATGCGGGCTTGGGTTACGGGATTGGATGAAATGAAACACTAATACCGGTTTTCAGACTTTCTATTGCACTTAAGTTACAGCGTCCACGGAGTTAAGTTATCGGCGTTCCTCTCCAGCAGAGTCCGGCCGACTGACACAACTTTGCCGTTCACGCTGACTTAACTCACTTAACTGACTGCACTTCACTATTTCACTGCACTTCACTATTTCACTCACTTTTCTTCTTTCTCACTTCTTCCTTTTCTTCCGAATCGCTTTAGACTTAGAACTCAACTGCCAGCGGTGAGCCGCAGTTCCGCTTATATACCCCCGGTCAGGTTCTGGAACATTCAATTTCGTTATTCTTTTTGATCGTCATGCCTCCAGAACCTTCCAATAATTTCGTTATTCATTTTTATTTATTCTCTCCTTCTCGCTCTTTAATTTTTCATTTCTTTCACACAAATAATTCCAGAAAGTTCGACAAAACTTCTATAAACTAAAAAACTTCATGTTTACGGCGGGACTCGAACTCGGGGTCTCTGTGGTGTAATCCACACGCCTTACCGATTACACCAACTCGTGTTGACAATTCACGACGAAATTTACAATCTCTAGGCAACGTTTGACAACCATCCATTGACGTCATGATGTCAAAGAGTTTGAACCACTTTTCCGTCACAATAACATAAGATGCATTCCCCAAAAACATCGAAATTAGCGTTTTTTTGTGATAGGTCGGCAAACTAGCAAACGGATTACCTGATGGTAAGCAATCAGCGCCCCGTCACCCATAGATACCCACCCGCAACAACAAAAGAGCTAAAAGTGCGTTGCCGACCATTTGGGAATAAGGGATTTGGAAATTTAGGGATTGGGGAGGGTTTGGGGGATGGGAAGGATTGGGCTTCTAGTAACCTCACTCACACAACTCTGTAGTTATTTCACGCCTGTTTTCTGTGAGGCCGTATTTTCGCTCCTGTCGAGCCGACCCTTTCGTGCTGAAGCATGGCTTTCCAACACTTACTTGCTAAGACATGCCTTTGAAACAAGCTCGAGAACTCGTTAGAAAATACACATTTACAATATCACAGAACGACACGGAGATATTTAACCTTTATTAATGGTACAAGAGCTTCATACTCCAACCGCGACCTAGAGGACGACTACGCTTTGAAATCCTTCACAACAATATTAATATCTGAGAAACAATAAGTCGTCTGTTTCTCTCGTTTTCCATTTTACCGTTATTGTATGAAAAGTTCTATACAATCTCGATTTTGACGGATTGAACGAAAACTTTGTTTAACAGGAATTCCGGGAATAATGAGCAAGCTGTCGCGGCCGGTCATAGAACGTTCACGTGTAAACCAATGAATGTTTATTAAACCGAACGAACCTAATAAAAATAATATCTACATAATAGATCGTTTTTCTGTGGTTTTGATAGGTATTTTCCATCACAATATTTCGAACGCCAAACGGTCTGTGAAATGTAAAAATCCACAACAATAGTTGCCACGCTCGTTCGAGGGAAAATCCAATGTTTACTCGCCTACATTTTAAATTATACAAACCATTTAATCTGCTTCTATCACACTTGTACTGAGAAAATTTCTCATGACTCATCGATACTTGACAAGAAGATATATGTGCCAGTAACAATAAAAATGGTTCGGGAACCCAATGTTAGTCGTGGAGCATCCTTGAACTGGTTCCATTTTATACGCGAAAGACTTGTGATAGCGATCGCACATTTTTCAAATACATCGGGGTGAATATTTATTAAACGTTTGCTAATTTCATTTTGAGACAAGCGAGGAGTTATTAATTGGCTCCTATTTGCGAAGAGTAAACAAATTGCGCCGTATGTTCCACTATCAAAGTTTCGAAAGAGTAAATTGTAAAAATTGTTCTTTTTTTTATTTTTATTGGTACAAATATCATCACCCTAAAACCGAATTGATTTATAAACATGATTCAGTTCCATTGTTTTCATTGTAGGCTGGCATTTTTATAAACTCATAAACTTTTTTATATTTATTGTTAACATTAACATGGTTACATACGAAAACCATCATTTGATATCGCGAACGTCCATAAATTATGTTGCAGTAAATTGTTGCTAGCCTTTACAACATTTATGATAGTGCGCAAAAAATCTAGTTTTCTCCTTTTGAGTTTACTACCGCCTCTGGCAGTTGTTCATGTCGACATAAAACACAGGATGTTGGTATCCTCAGTAGGTGATCTAATTAAGTGTGTTGTTATAATGAGAAACAGCAACATCCTACACTAATTAACACATTAAGAAGTCCGGAGCCGCCGTATATGGCTTTGAACACATTCGGGATATGAGTAAGGAGCCGTTAAGCCGTCAGATTAAAGAATTTGGTCAAGTGTCACAGATGCATGCGAGGAGATCAACGCTCTCATTGTGTCGGCATAAGGCAGTGACAGAGAAAATTAGGCTCTGAATTCCACCGATATTTTTGCATATACGAAGCGCGCGGAGGGCGGGCGGCGTTGCTAGCTACCTACGTATATATAGGTTGAAACGGCTGCGCGCCGCCCAGTCGCTCGTAGATGTTCCACCGTGCTCCACGTCGCTCTCAACTACAGTGACTACACCAATACTTGAACATAAAACAATTAATTTTGCTATTCCTTGGACTCAGAGGACAGTGAATCTATAAACGTTTAGTGTTGTGTATAGACTATTTGCTATTTCGTTCCCTGTGTGGTGTTTGCCGGCGATTCAGCCGACCTGTAGCTGTTTGGCCCGGGACGCCAATACTTTGGATCAGGTGAGTTTTCATTCAACTGTTGTCTCCTTCAATGTATTGAAACGTTTCTTAGTAGTCGCCAGTTACCTGTCGTTTTACTTGGTTGGGTTGCTTTTATTTCAGAGGAAGCTTTTATAGTTTTCATTCATTATATTGATTGCGGGTTTGCCTGTAGATAGAACGGTTCATCCATATCAACGATTGAGTAATAATATTGATTGAATATTGTCTAGACGAAACGTTGCACACTATGCATAGAAATTATTATCTACTTAAATACTATATTTAATAAGTCAGCTTTTTAAAATTTCTGCGTTGATTGTGTCTCATATCGTCAGTCAAGTCTTCTAACCACGAGGTGTTCAGTAATTTTCGATTCTGAGGTTAGCTAAGATTTTGCTTTATTTTTATTTAAAACAAGGGAAATTATAGTCTAGATAAATATACACTATGTTGGTTACAGTTGTTCTCTTAAAATATGAAAGTGCTGTTTTATAAATTGTTTGGTTACAAAGTGTACCTATTGTTTAATAACCACCTACCTAATTATTATTATAAATTATGGCCTAAGCTTCACTACACCTTCAATTTCCAATGCTATGTAAATATTGTATGGATTTCAGTTGCCATTACCACTTAACCGACAAGTGGGCTTATCACATTCGTGCGAGCAAATTGATTAGGCGAATCTTTAACGTACGTGGTACACAAATACATATTTGTACTGTGAATAGAAAAATGGAAATTATAAGCTTTGTGACATTGAATTTTAGTGATCTTTGAGTAACATGTCAATATTCGTTAACAATAATTACCTTAATAACTTTGAGAATTTTATGATGAAAAGGTTGTAATCATCCTTTGTTTTTAGTACGCGCACAAACCTAAATTGTCGTCATTTTTATTACAATAAGGTTTTAAACTTAGTATTCGACCTTATCTACAAATTGAATTTCACTTTCAAATATGTATTTAAAACGAGCGGTCGCCCGCGGCTGCGCTCGCGTGGATGTCGATTTGACACTTGTTCAAGATTTTTTTTAATTTTCTAAAACGTACATACCTTTTCTGAAGTTCCACGAATAATTCAAGACCAAAGTTAGCCAAAACCAAACATGTTGAGTTATATATAACATTACAACGAAAATTTGCATTGGTTTTTATTTATTTATAAGATAAAATATAGATAAATCCTAGAGCTTCAAATATAAGTAAATTTTAATCAGTCATTCCATACTAAGTTCCAAATTCCGAGTAAAGAAGCTTTTCACTTTGTTCGTAGAAACGCATCGCTGCGGCTATCTCTCGATTTATTCTGGGTACTCAACTATTCATTCCAAAAGAGCTATGAACTTAATTCTGAACTCTATTGCAGTTCAGGTAAACTTAAAATCGTATAATCGGTGTAAAAGGATTTCGTGGAATATAAGAATTTAATCAAGATTTTTATGAAGAATTTGATTATTTTTTTTATTAAGAATAGGAAAAATATACGTGCTTATTTAATGGGTCTGAAATAATATCATTATGATACGTTTTATAATTATTGTTAAATTAATTCTCTCACTGTCGATCAATGGCATGGGCAACTACCAATTCTCAATTGTTAATAAGTTTAATTTGGTAAATTATATTTAATTCAGGGGAAGGATTGATCATTAATGGATGGAAGGATTGATAATTAATGATCACGCTTGCTCAAGGGTGATGGGCGATTTTTAACTTATAATTCGAAATGGTAAGCCAAAGTTTCCTCACGATATTTTCCTTCACCGTATGTCAGTGGTGTCTAAATAATCATAGAAAGTTCATATAACTCGGAAAAAGTCACATCGGTACTTGCTAGGTGTCGAACCCTTAACAAGAAGCACCCGCTTCTTACCTCCGGGCCACCAAGACTATATAATATGTTATTATTTGATCATTATTGTTCTAGGATTATTTTGTTATATACCTAAACTCATGGCATACATACAATTGAATAAAGACTTCTGTGTTTCTATAAGATAATAAAACGTCTTGACTTCTTACCAACTGGTAATAACTAACTATAAAATCAATAAGTCAACGAAAGGTCGCTTCATAAAGCAATTTCTCCTATGATTCTGGAGGCAGTTGATAAAACACTATAATAAGATTGTCAGACAGTTTCGCCATAATACCATTACAGAAGAAAGGTTTTCGATAAAAGGGATCCTCACTATTATTCTTTTTATCCGATTACCGACTATTCTGGATAACTTTGTCCTTGTAGGGGTATAGGGAATTTAGGCTCTTAATTGTATGGCGTTAAAGCTCACATCATGATGATGACACAAAATAAGGTTGCGTATTGAATATTAAACTTATCAGAGCAAATAGTTCAAAATTGACACTATAAATTATGAGATGGAAAAATGTAACAAGAAGTTTTAGAATTTAAAATGTTCATTGATATTTCTTTACTACTAACAACATGGCTAAACTCATTCATATAAACCAAACTTTAATGATAAATGAAGATAAAAAAATTACGTGAGATATATAAAACATCCCTTACATTACATATTACCAACCTAGCAACAACATTGATACGTCCATAAAAGTCCAATTATAAATAACAACAATAAATTAAGGTTCAAAAACATTCCGAACCCGTAAACCAACTTAATTTATCATAGTATAACATACGGGGAGATAATTATAAAAGTATATAGGATTACTCGGTGAAACTGGTTAATTAAATTCATCTTAATTAACGTGGCTTCGTACTGGTAGCTGGAACGTCCAGTATTTTTTTTCAACTCACGTAATTGCCTCATCACAACAGAACCTTGAAAAGAGCTGAAAAGCCAATTAAGCACATATCGTCCGAGCCGGTTGCTAACCAATTTGAAACGGGAACCATTTATTTTCATTGTTTAATGACCAACTAAAATATACATGTTCACTTCAAAAGATCAACGAACCGATTTAGTCCAACATGTAACAATGTGACTTGTGTTAATCCAAATAGTACAAAGAACACAGAAGTTTATGTCCAGAAGTTTGTGTCAAGCTTTTTAGTCAATTAAGTGCATAATATTATTGTACAAGGGACATATAAATAACTTATATAAAGTTTACTTTCTCGCCATAATACCCACCTTTTTTTGAGGAGTTAATAAAATTCATCTAATGACTTCTGCGTTCTGGGTAGGACGAGGGATATGGAATGTCAGATTATCACTGACTACAAATGTTCTCGGTTTTTGTCTCCGAGCCGGAGTCGTGTACATTAATGCGCCTGCACTAAATAATTCCTAGCTTAGCTCTGCTTGTGAAATTGTAAAAATCAAATCATAAATACGTTCTTCATTTGATTGATTCAATGACCTACAACTCTTTGGTTGTTCTTAAGAGCATTCAGTAGACCAAAGAGGACAGTAATCATATTTTACATGCTAAGTGTACACAGCTGACACCCCGTTTCCTTAGGTCAAAGTCGGCTTAAATAAGCCCGAACGCATCCGGCACGGCCCGATCACTCTCGTACTCCCCACTGCCAAGTATTCTCACGTTATGATGCCGGCTCGTTATCAACCGAATATAATTATAGTCCATCTTTACGTAGGTTTGTGCGAAGATAAATATTTTGCATGTCTGACTAACGTCAGCGTTCACTATCGTCCGTTCGTACGTGAATGAGAATCCGCCATTAATATATACCAACATCTAGTGGAAAACTTCTGGTGTTATGACGACATCTTATGAATAAAACTGTTTAGAAGTCTAAGTGTTTAACACGTGGTCTGTTAAACCGCATACCACGCTGTGTATGATCTTTTTGAGGAAGATTTATCTCTAAAACAAAAGTCGATGTGATTAGAAAAGTCTTTACGACCATCACTGGTTGTTGCAACGATAATAACAGTGGGTGTACTTGACCCAATATAATTTGTTCAGTAAACGTCAACAGCCGCGCCGGTAACGATCACTTGCGAAACCGTTATTGTTATCCACACTAAAGTTCAATGTTAACAGAAAATGTTTATTTATTCAAGCTCTGTAATAGAAAAATGAAAACAAATGGAAATGAACCAGTAGTTACGGATATCACAACTAAACTTGACCTAGTTATCGTTTTAACAATTCGACATTTAACCCAGTTATGAATGTTGCACAACATTTGGCGACCTGCACAGCAACGTGTGCTGCTGTCAAAATGTAAATTGGGCTGATGATGAGCTCCGAGTCCCCTCATCATTTCAGTAATGTCCTTCGCCTACATACTCGTAGGTAGCCAGCGGCCGGCGCTTGCGCACGATCAGCATAAATCACGCGGTACCAGAATATAGTAATTGTCGGTTTACTCTTTAAATAATTCCGTTATACCCGAGCTTTGGTGCGTGGAATTTTACAATAAATCCGGCATGAATTGAGCACACCTCTAATCTCTACCTATCCGCCGCTCGTAGCAACAAACGTGTTTATTTTATGATAATATACACGAAACTCGTTGAGTGCAGGTGGAATTAATAGTATTTATCCACAGCACGCGGATAAAATACATTAGATATTAGCACTCCCACTGTTCCACCTGTACAATATCATTAAAATATAATAGAAACTTTTAAAAGCTTATCGTGTTAAATCACTTAAAGTAGTCATAACGGATAATTTGTTTAAATAATTCCTAATCCTCCAACACTATGAATGATAGGTTTTGCGTATTGCTTTTAAAACATCATTATCAATGATTTGTTGGTTTAACAAAACGATTAACGGGTAAAAGGTTTTAAATTAACGTTGATTGATTTGTAACACGTGTCTCAATTAATGGAAGCATCTCGAATGATCTCATCGAATGATAAACAGGCAAATTGTTCACACATCAACGGACTTGTAGTAGTAAAATAAAATCAAGCGAGTAGCCTTTTACCAATCCAAAGGATCAATAAAGTTAAAGGCAAAAATCAGTCTAACGCTTCTTGAGATATGGTTCAGATTAGCAGATCAATAGCTTTGTGAAATTTCGGTGAAATAAATGGCAGGTGTGGAAG